GTTATTTGTATCAGCACAGACTTGATGTTTACTTTGTTCTGTGAGTTACAATACTCATTGCACATTTTCTTGCAAAATTCCAGCTTTAGCTGTAGGAAACTTCTTTAGGTTGGATTGTGTCCTTTTGAAAGTGGCATTCTTTTTCAAGTACGTATTTTCTGACACCACGGGATATTTTTGGCCTATCTTATACATTCCCTGCCCTAGTGCTGGAATTGACTGCTTCTCCAACCGTTTCTTTTTATGGGAGAATGATACTTAGAAACCCAGGTCAGTAGGTGTGCTCAGTGCTATTAGAGTTGGTCTTAGCCTCTCTCAGTAGATACAGGTAAGAAAATATGTGTATGTCTATTAATCTGTATGTACAGATATACCTGTATTTGCATATTTATAGCTAGTCGTGAGGACAGTATATATATTCATGTGTGTATGTGTGTTCATAGCGACTTTGAATTCCTATCCCTGTTATTCTACTTTCTTTCACCAATACTGAGAAACCTGGCTCACATTATCCACAATACAGTTACTTGTTTAATCCCAGTACATATATGTACATAAAGTCATTACAGAGTGCTAAACCATAGCCCCACCAGAAACAGAGGTACTAACTAAATATAGCATTTGTGTCTTTCTTTAGCTTTGTGGTATACAAACATTGTTTCCTAATATTTTCTTGCATTTTCTTGATCTCCTTCAGCATGGTTATATTACACATTTATAATAGAGTCTCTTAGAAGGTGGAGGGTTTCTTTTGTTTATATGTGAAATTTTGTCTTTCTTTTGTAAAAGCTCTTGATGGGCTTTTCTCTTGTTCATTTTTATTATGTTGGATTTTTTTAAATTTTTGTATCTGGAGTGTTAGGATTTTATCTTTCTGGAGGTTGTTCACGTCATCTTGCGGCCCCTCACGTGCCAGCCCCCTCTTCTGTCTCCCTTACAGTTCTCCTCAGTCTGCCTTTGCTCACCACTCAGCTTATGGCTGGCTGAGGGCAGGGCAGTGGAGTTTGGTGGGGTTTTTTCTCTTACTCAGTTACTTTTCAGTTCTAAAATTCTCAAAGTGATGCTGAAGACATATTTTTACATAGAATTTATTTTTCACCTCTTATATTTTCTTTATTTGGGGAGGGCATTGGAGGTATAGAAAGATCTGCTGCTGCTGTTCTCCTGGGCTACTTGCAAATCCTTGGTACTAAACAGTGGGACTCCCCTGGAGGATCTGAAAAACTGAAGCTTTATGAAACTGAGTGCCCCAGATCTGCTGCTCTGTTAATGTCTCCCTAGCAATGGTGCTGACAACTCACAGAACTCAGTTGTTGCTTAGATACATCATCTTCCATAACCACCGATTATCAGTAGGGATTTAAATTTAGCCTCTAAATTGCCAACCTGATAGTGAGAGCACCAGCAAAATCATCCTATATGTATCAGCAAATTACTGAAAAACTATCTCTGGAACATTTGATGCTTTTTTCCTTTTAGTACTAGAAGATATCCTTTTGTTTTCTGGTTTCCATTGTCTTCTGCAGAAACTCTTTGTCATCCTTATCTGGGTCTTCTGTACAGGGTGTTTTTTCTCAGACTGCCTTTAAGGTTTTCTCTTTATTGGTTTAAGCAGTTTGTGATGTACCTTAGCATGTTTTTCTTCATGATCCTTATGCTTGGGTTTTATTGATATTGTTGGGTCTATTGGCTACTAGGAACTTGTTTCACATGGTTCTTCCCTAATTTCCCACCCCACCCCCTTTCTCCAGGACTTCAGTCACATCCCACATTAGCCACTTGATGTTGTCTCATGATTCTCTGGTGCTTTTGTTCTTCTATTTTTTAAAGTCTGTTCTGGTATGTAGTAGCTACTTGGAAATCCTTTGTTCTTGTTCTTGGTTTTAAGTTTTTGTTAGGCAGCATCAGAACGGCCTTTATATGATTTTTATCATCTACTGAGGCATTACCTTCCTAATTACTCTCTGTGATGCCCTATGTATTTACAGGTTTTTCCATTTTGGTTTGTGGGAACTGGAACTTACCCCAGCCAGGTGTGAACTCTTAGGTTCATTTCCCTGTACATATTTTGGCACCCTGTAAATGTGTATGAGAGACTCAAGGGGCCCCCACGAATCTCCCAAACACGTTCTGTATGCAGCTCTCTTCTGTCCAATACTGTGCCTGCCGCCTCTACCTGTCTGGCTGCCCCAACTCTGGGTTGCCTTTCCCCCACCCATTGTTTGGAAACAGCAGTCAGTGAGCAGTCCTAGGGCTCACCTTGTTTCCTTTTCTCAGGGATCCTTGCATTGCCTATGACATGACGGCTATTGTTTCATACATTTTGTTCAATTTTTTACTTTAAGGCAAGACATGAATCCAGTATCTATTACTTCTTCATGGGTGGAAGTATGTTTGTTATCTTATGTTAATTGTGAATTTGTGTTGATTGGGTTTTGTTTACCCATCGAGATTGTGTCTTCAACCCTTCAGGGAATACAGGCAAAGCATTTGGCCATTTCCTTACCTCTACTATTTAACCTAATGTCTGTCTAGATTGAGATGTCCTAGAAGAGGAGTGATTTTTCCTTGCTGCCTGTTACCAATTAGAAACATAACACAAATGAGGCAAAAACTAGCCCGGCCTAAAGTGAGCTCTTGTGTGTGTCAGTGTAGGTACAAAGGGGAAACCCATACCAGTTACTTAGAGATCTCTTATCCAGACCCAAGATGCAGAAGTGAAAATCATTAGGAGAGAATGTGCCACAGGCTATATACCCCTATCAGCATTCTTTAGAGAACTATGGTCTTCCAAAAATTCAAACTTGAGGAAAATATGCTTTGTCTTGTTAAGAACATGTGTTTGATAGAGATTGTGTGGGAAAATGGAGAGAAGTTTCCCCACCCTGACCTTGCCCCCTCTAGCAATCCTACTTCAAAGAGAATGCTGGAAAGAAGGGATGTGATGAAATGAGTCCCAGGTGCTGACCAGAACATGCAGGCCAGCAGTAGAAAGGGTAGTTTAAGCCAAAGGGGACCTGGATGTGTGGAGGGGGAGTGATGGCTGCAGAGACATGCTGGTTCTCCCATACTGGTGATTGGCTGTCACCCAGTGTGGGATTCATGATGCATCGGTCCTAGGGCTGCACTGACTCCCATTCTTTCCCCAGCTAGCCATGCATTCTGATATGGCACAGTTTCAGGCCACTGGGCCTGTGCTCTGTGTAGAGTCCCTTTGTACAATTCTTTCCCATCCAGCCACAACACTGCTTAAGGCTGCATTTTATCCAAAATTTTTGTCTCCTCACACTGCAGCTGAGGCAAGTTTCCCTCGTTCCATATGTTCCTGTATCATGACACTGATGTTATTATTGGTAATTTTTGGAGGTCACCCATTCCAGTCAAGAACAGGGCTTGTTTACCTAGCACCATCTTGTACATAGGAAGAAATCAGTGCTTGCTGAATGAAGTGGGAAGGCCAGGCTCCTTGATGAGGTATAATTTTCTAGGGTTCAAGAAAGAGGGGTTGGCTCGGCGCCTATAGCTCAACCGGCTAAGTCGCCAGCCACGTACACCTAAGGTGGCAGGTTCGAATCCCCAGCCTGGACCCGCCAAACAACAATGACGGCTGCAACCAAAAAATAGCCGGGCGTTGTGGCGGGCGCCTGTGGTCCCAGCTACTTGGGAGGCAGAGGCAGGAGACTCGCTTGAGCCCAGGAGTTGGAGGTTGCTGTGAGCTGTAATGCCAAGGCACTCTACCCAGGGGGACAGCTTGAGGCTCCGTCTCAAAAAAAAAAAAAAAAGAAAGAGGGGTTAATCAGGTCGAGAGAATATGTTCCCTCTCCTGCCATCTCACCCAAACCCCTCAGTCTGAGGACATGGTGCCCCAGGTCATAGGCATGCTGGCTCTGAATGCCCTCTCAGCTTGTGTTCAAAAGAACAGATGAACAACCACCTTGCTGTCAGCAGCTACCCCTTCTCTGATCTTACAGCAGGTGGCAGCAGCCTCTTAGCCATAAACTATTCCCTTCCATTCCTGTTCATGCAAGGGGAGCTGGCCATTAGCAATACTGTGTGCCCACTGCTGCACAGTACATGAAGCTTTCACCCCTGGGAGACAGCTGTAGCCACTGCAGGAAGATGGTGGTTTTCCCTTTCCAAGAGCAATGATGTATATTCCTTAGGTAAATGCATTTTACTCAGTTCCTGAGAGTTCTTGAGACAAGATGTTACAAGCAGGGTAAAATCCAGCCAGTAGCCAGGAGAACCCTCCTGGGACCCCACCCAGGCTTCCCCAGCTGATCTCATGTCACTCCATAAACCTAGCTCTTTTGTCATCACTTTATGTAAACTGTCACAAGACTCTTCCCCCAATCAGTTCTCCTTTGGTTGCCAGGTGACCATGCCCCAAGGCAACTTTGTCTTTGTACTTACAAGCCCTTTGCCTCAAAGCATTGAGGGTTAGGACTCTGAGGCTCTCACTCTCCTGTAGGCCTCTCCTCACCTCTCTCCACCCAGCCCATCTGCAGCCCTTCAAGAGCCCAATCCCCCTCATTTCCCCCCACCCCATGCAACCCTTCCCTTTTATCCTCCCCTCTGGGGCATGACTGGCCACTCGTCTTGCAGGCCTCAACATTCTAGTTCCTTATACATGGAGGTCTTATTGCTATGGGTCTGCCCATGGGCTCCTCCTGGGCCTACACCTGGGTGGAGAGGTATATGCGGAACTGGAGGCAGGCGTGGCCACACCTAAGCCACTAAGAGGAGGGGGGAGATGCTGAGGTCAGACTGCGGTGTTAATGGAGAAGGCTCTGCCTAGTTCAAAGATTGCTCAGTGAACATTTCAAGAAGCTGCTCCCAGAGCCCAAGTGTGCTGGGGGTGGGGAGTCCGAAGACCTCCACGCTGTGTCCCCAGGGTCTACCCAGGTGCTGCCCCGCCCAGCTACCGTTGGGTCTGCCTATCCCGGCGTCCACCTCCTCCCGCCCTCCCCCGCCCCCCCGCGGCACTGCGGCAAACTCAGTCCTCCGCAGAGCGCACTGCGGTAGGACTCGGCTGGCTCGGCTCGTCTGTGCGCCATGGCCCTGGGCCTGCGTGACCTCCAGCGGCGCGGCCTCTGGCTGCTCCTGGGTGAGTAGGGGTCCCCACTGAACCCTCAATCCCCACCGCGGCTCCTGCCCGGAGTCCTCGAAGGGAGGGCTGGGAAAGGCGGGCTCCTTGCGCTCACCGGCCCGCTGCCCTTGAACGCTAGCAGCCGCATTGCGGCGCGGGGTTGCCAGCGAGGAGGGGTCCTCACGGCAGCTGAACGGGCAAACATTGGGGGCCGGGGCACCGGGAAGGAGGTCCTGTGATGTAGAAGAGGCAGGGGTCCGCGTTGGGCTTTGCCAGCTGCCGAAGAAATAGACAGCGTTGAGGACGTCAGGAGAGCCCGGCATTCTGAAAGGCGCCGGGTCCCCTGCTCGCCGCACCTCTGCGGCGGCTGGGAGGAGCGGCTATTACCGCTGGCCGCGGGCTTCCTTAGGCTGTCTTAATAGCAAAGCCAGAAACAGGCACCTTGCAGATTAAGTGTAGCGTTCCAGAATCAGAAATTAGTTAAAATTTGAAAGCTGGCTCTTTGCCCCCTGCAGCGTTGCTTGTTTGTAAACGATGTCCTTTGCAGAAATGAAGCCAGCTGTCTTCCTGTACGGGGATATGTCCACAGCTTTTTTGTTCATTTGTTTGCTTGCTTGTTAACTTGCCCCTTCTGGCTAACAGAAATTTAAAGAGGGACGGGCGCCTTTGGTGGGCGGGGAGAACATGCTTGGCCTTCTGCTTTGAGAGATGATAAACAACCTAGGACAGGCAGGAACCTGTAGCAGACTTAGCAAGAAAGCGTCCTCTTCCGTCCCTTGTCTGTGATATTTTCATAAATTTGCAAAGTTGAGACTGTTTCTAAATTCTAAGCTATTGGATTGATTTCATGAATTTAGCTACCTTTTAATGGAAACTAAACAGGGTACGTGAGTGGGAGAACCATGCCCTGGAAGGCCCCTGCAGTGATTTCTGGGATTGTGGCCTTTCACCAAGATGGAGATGGTCAGAGGCACCTGGTGCACAGGCCTCGCTGGGTGCTGGCAATGGTGACAGGATGACCACCAGCGCTGTTTTTGTATCATGCAGCTTATGGCAAAGTGGCTGCTGGGGGTTACCAAAGTCTATAGGGGTTACCCAGACAGAGGGGCTGAGGGCTTTCTAGGAGCTTTGAGGTTTCTGGCCCTTATTTGTAAACCTCTCTCAGAAGCGTCAGATCTGCATAAAAGCCTCAGTTTCAACAGAATATAATCTGAAAACACATCTTACCACCATTGGCTAAACTTACATGAAAAGCAAAATCTTATAGTAATTTTATTCTCTTCTGTTATGTTAGGATCCACGTGGCTTGACGTAGACTTTGCTGTTCTCATTTCCTAAGAAACAAACATTTCTCAGGTAGCAAGGCAGAGTGCTGGGTTGTGTAATTTTTTTTTAAATAGATAAATAAATAAATGTTCTTTACCAGTATCCAGAGGCGGCACTAAAGCTTATATGTAAATGAACCACTATGTTGAGATCACAGATAAAGACCTTCCTTGTTTACCAAGAAAACAATTCATGTTCTGCTGAAAGTCCAAAGTCATTCAATCTTAACATTATTCTGAGTGGTCTGGCTAATGTTATATCTTGGGAGAACAAACACAACTTTATTAGGTTATCAGTAAATTAATGTCACTGGAGCTCAGCAGTAATTAGTGGAATTACCAACCACATGGTCTTTCCTTCCCAAGCTGTAGCATGAGCCAGATCTCCTTGGTGACGAAGATTTTGCTACCCACAATGGCAATGTGGATTTTTTTTTTAAGTGTGGTAGTCCATAGGTTTAAGAATTTATCTTTGGGCTTGGCACTCGTAGCTCAGTGAGTAGGGCGCTGGCCACATACACCGAAGCTGGTGGGTTCGAGCCTGGCCTGGGCCTGCTAAACAACAGTGACAATCCAACCAAAAAAAAAAAAAATAGCCAGGCTTGTGGGCGCCTCTAGTCCCAGCTACTTTGGAGGCTGAGGCAAGAGGATCGCTTAAGCCCAAGAGTTTGAGGTTGCTGTGAGCTGTGACGCTACGGCACTCTACCGAGAGCAACAAGTAAGGCTCGGCCTCAAAAAAAAAAAAAAAAAAACTTTATCATTGGCAATTTTACAATCAAGATATTTTTCCTGTGAAGTTATTAAAATCTCAGTATAATATTCTTTTCTCTCTGTGAGCCCTGTGCGGTCTTCCCTTTATAGAAGACTCTGATGACCACATGCATTTTAAAAGTTTTATGTATAGCCACTGAAAGATTTTCCATCTGTCAGAAGAGAAGGCCATTTCCAGATGAGCTGGGGTTATTTATGCTGAGCACATTGCAGTCTCCTGCATTTCCCAGCCGGTCCTCACTGGGGCGTGCTGGCTGGTGCTGTCTGTCATGAGCGCCTCAGTCGTCACTGCAGGGAAACACATGCCTTCCTTGGCTGTCGTGCTGGCAGCTTTGGGGATTTTCTTAAATGGCCGCAGTATTTATTAAAATATATGACTTTATATCAATACAAGTATAACTGGAAATGACTGAGACAACACAGGAAATGCAAGGTATGTGACTGCTCCAGATTGTCACGTGCCTTTAAATCCTGGAGTCCAAATCTGAAGGAGTCTTACTTGCTAATCAACTCAGTGTGTTTGTTTACCCTCTCTGTGTGTCTAGCTACAGGAAGAAATGTTTGGATTTTTGTCTTCCTTCCACAGGCACATGCCTGTCAGTGTGCGTGTTGTCAATCCGAGGCCAGAGCCGTTAAGAAACATTTATACCCACAATGGAAATAGCGTTCAGAGCATGACAAGGAAATGTTTTAGGTGGAATCCTCACTTGCAGCGAATAGCTGCTTAGAAAAGTTGTTCCTAACTCCCCCACAGAATGACCCAATTTCATAGCTTCTAATCAGTGAAAACTGGCATCCGGCAGAGTATGTGTGATGTGAGCACAATGTGTAGGGTGGGTTCCAGTGACAGTGCTGAACACCCTCTTTCAGGCCCAGCATCTCTTTCCTGAAGGTCCACATGGCATGATGGGCTGTCCCCACAGTGGGCCCTGACATAGGCCTGGCCATCAGGATTGTCCTGAGGAGGAGAAGGGTAAACAGTTTTCTACTGGAGCTATGGGGAAAAACTGAGTGAGGGCTGCCCGAGTCTGTTTGCCAGCCAGGAAACAGGGTCTCCTGGCACCTTTCAAGCCCCTAGATTGAGCCTGTGGGGTGCTCTTGTCAATCATGTGAGCCCATCACCTATGCTGTTTGAGCTGGGTATCTACTGCCTTCCGGTACAGTGCCTAGTGGAAGTAAGGCTCAGGGGGCTCTAATAAGGGCACCCCTGGAATTCCGCCCAGACCCTGTCTCTCCACTAGGGACTCCAGGAGACCTCCTAAAGGTGGAGACACTGCCCCTAAGAAGATAGTGGAAGCCAGAAAAGGGTGACCAAGGCTACAGGACCCCAATGGCCCTAGCCCATACAAGGGACCCATGTGCCCATGGCCACCACACTGCAGATTCTATGTGGCAACAGAAGAAGCAAAGATGACACTGATAGGATTCTGCCCTGCTCCCGTCCACCACGACAAGGCTCCCTCGGCCCACGCTGCCTGTCTACCCCGCAGAGCTGCTGCAGAGATGCCTTGTCACCAACCCTTACCTCCCCAGGGCAGGCCAAGCCCAGGCTGGACAGGGTTGCTAAAGAGGACTCATCTCTCTTCAGCGAGAAGGATTATGTCAATTCAGCTGCCATAGGAGGGAGGGCTCCTGACCTAAACAAGACCTTATTCATTTAGCATAATGGTGTTATTGTTGTTCAAGGAAAAGATTTTTTTTTCCTAAGATGGTTTTATTTCAGTATTTTCTTTAACATCCAGAAGATATGACTTTAATTATTGCTCAAACCACAAATTCTAAGTGACTTTGTCATAGCAGGGTCCATGGAGCCCACCGGCAAGACACAGCCGGGGTGCGGTACCCACAGGCCTGGGCAATAAGCTAGCCTTACTTTATCCTCACTAGATCTCACAGTGATGCCTTATGTTTTGCTACAAGATTGCCTCTTTTCCTCCCTGTGCAGTTTCCATGGTGGATTCTCTGGGACCAGAACCCTGGCCATCCTTATGCCCCACCCATGTCTTCTCTAGAGTCCATAGCCCACCAGGGTCAGCCCACCCCACCCCCTACCCAGTTGGCCACCTGGCCTTTCTGAAAACTGCCCTCCTGTCCCACCTGCCATTCCTGAGGGAAATGGCCCTTCTGTGCCCCCGCATGCCCCATCAGGATCCTCATCACACCACATTGGCCTCCCCCCATATGCCTTCTTGGCCCCAGTGCCTCAACCCTGGTCAGCACCTCTGGAGCTTGCTGAGAGATTTTTGAAACTAAGGGAGCCAGCGGCCCATAGCCTGGGTCTGGCTCGCTCACATGGACCAGGCACAGCTGACCTGGGCAGCACTGACTGCTCCCCAAGCCCATGTACCCCTGAATGAAGCTTAGAAAGGGTTGTCCTGAGCAACTTCCACCCAGGAGGATAAAGCCAGCAATTTGCCCAAGCAAGAAATTTTTTGCAGAACAATGCCTGGCATGTTGTACTCTTGTCTGGCCAGTTATCACTGGAATAAAAGCAGCTCACGTGTCATGTAGCAAAGCCCACATCTTGGTGGGGAGAAGTCTAGAAAGCATACTCCCTTCAAAAGACATGTGGTGATCGCCGCCCAGAGTGGCTCTCACTGCATAGGCCTTACCACCTCTAGAGGAGACATTTGTCAGAGGGGAGGTGGGGAGATGCACTTGTTCTTCTGGAAACTTCTGCCACATCACAGGGGTGGTCCTACAGGGTTGTGCCTAGGAGGATCGAAAGCCGCAATGCTGCTGAGCAGCTTCCAATATAGGGCATCCTGCATAGCACAGGGTCGCCTGAGCAGAATGGCCAGCCCCAGATGCCCACAGTGCTGAGGCGGGATGTCCCCAGATGCCCTCAGGGGGACAGGCATTTCCCCCACCCCCACCCCCCACACACACACACAGAGGCGGAACAGCCCTTTCCCCCTCTAC